GCGAGGCCGTGGGAAGTGTAACCGTCACACATTTTGGCAGCTGCCACCCTCTGTCGAAAACAACTGAATGGGTGTGAATGACCGAGAGGGCTGTGTCTGGTCACCTGGAAACCAGGGGCAGATAGATATCCAGGAACTCAGGTGTCAACCTTTAATCCTAAATGAGTCCATGAGAATGACCCCGAGGGACACTTTACCCAAAGGGAAACTGAGTCAGGGAAGGCAGCTCCCCATGTGAGGGGGTGTGTGGCAGGACTGGGACTCGGTGCCAGCAGCCGGCTTTTGCGCCCAGTACTCGCTCTTTGCACTCAGCTGCCTGGGGGGGAGGGGGCTGCCTTCGAAAGCGTGTGATTTCGAAATCCTTGGGTTCAGAGAAAAGTGGAGCAGGGAGGCCTCCTCTGTGGTGTGATCTGAGGTCAGCTGGGTCAGAGGCACCTCACCGCAGGCCAGCCTGAGGCCCAAAGTTCCACCGTGAGCGTGCAGGCACGTGTGTCTGTGTGAGTGTGCATGTCCTTGTAAGAGCCAGCGTGTCTGTGCGTGCACACTCGTTGTGTTCGGGGTCCCTGTTCTCTGATACTGGTTCTATAGCCAGACACAGCTGGGCACAAAACCCCGGGTCCACCAGCTACTAGCCACGTGGCCTTAGGAGTCATCTCCGAGCTTCAGTCTTCTCATCTGTAAGATGAGTTAACAGCACGGACTCTGTATCAGCAGAAAGTGTCTTGTCTGGAGCTGGGTGGTGGAAAAGGAGAAGAGCCCAGGTGGTGCAGAGCTGCCCTTTATGCTTCACTGGCCAGGGAGAAGGGGGTCAGATGGGTCCTGGACGAACTGGGAGCCCTGAGCACGGAGCTCAGGTAGAGAACTGAACCCCTGACCCAGGACGGCCACGAAGGGCCCCTCTGCAAACCCGTCACTGGGCAGATGCCACTAGCCAATCCTTGCACGCCCTTCTACCGCTCAATGTGGCTGGAACGCCCAACGCCAGCCCAGAGTCTGAGTGTACCACGAGGTCCGTGCTGACAGAGGAGGAAACCTCTTTGTTATCTGAGACTAAAGTCACAAACAGGGAAGGCTCTGAGAGACACGGGGAACCAGGGTGTGGGGGGCACGCTCGGCTCAACAGCGGAAGGGCCTCCCACCGACCCCCGGGACTCAGCTGGGCATGGGGTGCAAACTTCCTCACTGGCCCCCACTGACCCGAATGCGGCCCACTCCAGGGTCCACGGCCCCGGCTGGTCCTTGCACACACCAGGGACCCTCCCACCTCTCGGCTTCTGCACACGTGTTCCCCGGGACTAGGATGCTGCCCCGAGATACCAGCAGGCCTCACTCACACCTCACACCCGATAGGGCTCCCCCACTCGCCCACCCCTGCGGCCTTGGCAAGCCCCAGGCATTCTCAAGTACAATGTCAAGCACTGGATACTCCGAAACCACCTGCTCAGTGTTTACCGGTCTGGTATTTTGGTCGCTACGAGGCTGGCTCCTTGGAGGAAGTGTATTTTGTTTTGCTCAGCACCAAGCAGACAAGATGAATGACCACAAAATGGGCTGCTGTCCCCAGGACGTCACCCCACCCACTGAGGCAGGGGCCGTATAGCGACGACGAAGTGAGGACAGGGGCTAGCCCACTGCTCTGGTGGCAGTCTGGGCCACACCTGGAGGGGGCTGCCTGTTGGCCCCGCCCTGCCCCTCCCACAGCGCCCCGGGCACTTACATGGGTGATGGAACCTCGATAGGTGATGGGGCTCTCGGCGGGCACCCGGTTGCTGGGGACACCCTTGCTGATGCTTCCTCCTGGAACCGAGCCCAGGGACGTCCCTGGAAGACATGAGAGACACCGGGGCTGAAGGGATGTCTGTGGCCCTTCCGCAGGCCCCAGGCCCGAGAGCCACCCCTTGGAATCAACACAGAGGGTCCCCCGGCCCTGAATCGCAAGGCAGGTGGCTGTGAAGAGGGACTCCTGGAACTTGTGGAACCGGCGCTTCTCAGCAGGTTTTGGATCAGGTGTTCCATTCCTGCCTCGACCCTCCGAGGGCCAAAGTGACAGCCGCAGGGCAGACCCCAGGCCTCACGCCCGCCCGCCATGGCCTCACCTCTCAGCACGGACGTCTCCTGAGCCGTGGGCACCCCCAGGCTTTCTGGTGGCCCAGCCTGGCCCCGTGGGGACAGCTGCTCCTGCTTCACTCCGAAGGGCGCTGGGGACAGGCGAGAGCAGTGAGCCATGTGCCACTGGGACAAGGACTTGCAGGGGTGGCCCCACCCCGTCTTACCCAGGGGCTGGGCCCAGGACTGCAAGGGGATCTAGAATGCCACCCCCCAAATTCAGGCCCGAGTCCCATGGGCCAAGCTATCTTCCCTCAGCCCCCCAACATGGACAGCTGGAACCAAGCCTGGGCCTGGGCCGTCCAGGTGAGAAGGCCCCAGATCCTTACCCAGCTTCTTGGGGTCCATGGTCAGGGGCAGCCCCATGGTGATGGGGCCCACAGGGGCCTTGGCATGCTCTGAGTATGGGACGTGGAGCTGGACTGACAGTCCCTGTGGGAGTACAGGTCATAGGGTCACAGGAGCACCCCACCACATGTCCCGGCCCAGCCACAGCACCTAGACACCCCCTTTCACAAGGGCTCAAGTCCTGGCCCTGCTGCCCCGCTGAGCAACCGTGGACAAGCAGCTGCCTCTCGAGCCTCGATCCTTTCACCTGTGAAGTGGCCATCATGACCTGATGCAGTTGAAAGGAAATGGTGCCAGTGTCTGGGGCCAAGCCAACGCCTCACCCCCACTCTGTGCTACACAGGGGGGCGAAGGGGCAGACACCGCAGACCGAGCACATGTTGGTCTGCTGTGTGTCTAACCCATTCATTCCATCTTTCATTCCACAGAGGGGAGACCGAGACACAGAGAGGCTGAGTCACCTGCCCAAGGCCACAGAGTCTGGTTGCAGAGCCCACTCCCTTGACTAACGGCCCCATGAATGACCTCCCGAGGTCCTGAGTGCCTGGAGCAGGCTCCAGCCAGCTGGGGCCCCAACACCATCGAGAACAGAGATGACCCCGGCCCCCGCCCAGACATCACTGATCCCAGTACCCCCACCGAACAGGTGCAAAGACCAAAACTGCGAAAGAGGAAAGGGCTGCTCTCTGGGCACCGGGCCGCACCAATGCTCCTGGGGGCTGCCCTGCCCGCCTCACCTGGGAGATGGCACCCATCTGCCTCTCGAGGACGCTGGGGTGCTTGGTGGAGGAGATGAGGGGCGGAGGGTTGGAGATGGTGGGAGGGCGTGGCAGGACGGGCCGGGCACTGTCGTGGAGGCCCAGGGACAGCGGGTGACCTGCGGGACACATGTCTGTCCATCACAGGGCCCCAAAGGCGGTCGTGCTGCTGCAGACAGAACCCCCAGGACCTCTGCCCGCCTCTGCCCTATCGCACCCAGGGGGGGGCGCCTGTTCACGCGCACCCCTCTGCTGCTCCTGTCTCTGTCCTAATGAGCCATCTGTGTCCTTGGCTCAGACACCCCCCCTCCCCCCGCTGGGGATGACTGGGATCCACCCACTCAATCTCGACCCCTTAACTGGGCTCCCCATTTCCACTTGACCCTCCAATAGTCCATCCCCCTCACAGAACCAGAGGGGTCTTTGTGAAGTCTACTGGTGCACGTCCTCCTCCTGCTGTGAACCTTCCTTCTGGGGCGCCCTGCCCCTTAGCCTCCGACATGGCTTCCAGGCCCATCTGACCTGCTGCTGCTGGTCTCCACAGCCTCACTGGGCATCAAGCTTCCAGCCGGGCAGCCTGATTCAGTGTCTCAAGCTTCACCTGCTCTTTCCTGCCTCTGGACCTTTGCACACGCCGTCCCCCCTGCCTGGCATGTCGCTCCTTTTCCCCTGGCTCACAGGGCCCACTCATCCTTCAGGATCAGCTCTGCTTAGCACCGTCTTTCCACATGAGGCCCTGGCTATGCCCCTTCTGCTGGAGGGACCCAGCAGGACTGCAGACCCCAGAAAGGACCTCAAACCCAGCCTGACTGTATCCGCAAACCAAAGCAGCCCCCTGCCAACCCCACCCCAGGCTTTCCTGTCCTATGGCTGGCTCCCTGTCTCCAGGTGCTTCAATACCACTCCAGCAGATTTCTCACATCTCAACAGATCCCCTCCTGTGCCGTCACCAGCCAGACCATCCCTCCTGCTGTCCTGTCAGACGCAGGTCCTTCTGCAAACAGTTGGCGCCCAATGGCTGTGCACTGGCTGACTCCACATGGAGGCTGAGAAGCCCAAGCTTGGGCGAGCTACTCACCAGGCGGAGCATAGGAGAAGGCTGAGGGGTCAGGGGCGTGCGGAGAGGCCTTGATCACCTCACGGGGGGGCACGGGGAAGGGCAGGCCCGACGTCCAGCACGGGGGCTCCGCAGGCAGCTTCTGGCCCTCGGCTGTGAAGGCCGGGAAGAACACAGGCTTCTCTGCAGAGGGGATGAGGAGGGGCGGTCAGCTGAGCCTGGCCAGCCCTCCTGACCCCACTGCCGAGGCCGCCCCTGCTCAAACATGGCCCACTCCTTGCCTGCAGCACTGGCCCTGGGCAGGGGTGGGGTCCTGGCCAACAGCAAGGGGGGGGGGTGTGTCTATGATGGAAGCCCCTCAAGTGTGCAGCTGGGGAGTGTATCCCAGGGGTGGGCTGGGGATTACTGGCAGCCCCCAGTAATCTCCAAGATCTCAGGGAGCTTCTGAGTTCCAGTGCTGGGAACCCACAGGCACTCGTCCAGCACCAGGCAAGCCCTGGACACACCTCTAAGCAGGGGATGAAGGGCGACAGCCAATGGCGGCCGGGGGCCTGCTGCCTGGTTCTTACGCCCACTTGTGCTGCAGCCCAGTCACGTCCACCCATTTACTTCTTGTCTATGGCAGTGCCGAGAGGTTGCAACAGAGACCGTCTGGCCCGCAAAGCCTAAAATATTTACTATCTGGCCCTTCCCAGAAAAAGCTTGCTGACCTCTACAAATGATGAAGGTGGTCAGAGACAGCTGCGTGTACGTGCTGGGGTGGGGGTGGCTGACAGTCCAGACAGCCGGCCCGGCATGCATAACAACACCCAGCGGCCGACGGTCTGAGCACGCCCTGCCTGACCAAGTCACTGTGCTGGGTGTTTGTTTCATCAGCCTCCTCGCAAGCCCATGTGAAGAGGCTGTCGCAGCGGGGGACACTGAAGCAGGCACATCTGTGGACTTACCGAAGGCACCAGAAAATATCTGGCTAAGCCAGGACTGACCCTTTAACCTCCTGGCCCACGCAGCAGCAAATATACAACAGGAGGGAGATGCCCCCCCCCAGGACCTCACGCGAGTGGCGCGAATCTAAGGGCTTTTATGGGTCCCGAGTCATTTTTCCACATTGACACCCTGCGAGGAACTGACTGCGATTATCCCCGGTTTACAAATGGGAAACTGAGGCTCAGAGAGGGGAAGTCACCTGGCCGAAGGCCCACAGCAAGCAGGCGGCAGAGGGGGCTCTGAGCCCAGGTTACACATGGTGACCTTACCCTTTGCCACGCACATGGTCCCACGTTCTCAGGCCTGGGGACACTGAGGAGACACCGGCAGAGACCCAGGGGTTAAGGCCTGATTCTCAGTGTTCTCCTGCTGCTGGCCGGTCACTGACAAAATGTGCCCTAGGCTCTGCACCTCAGCCTTGATAAGTGGTATCAAGCTTACCGATCCAGGGGGGAAACTGGCTGAGAAGTGGGGCAGGGGACACATGCAGGAACGCCAGGCCTGGGGTGGGGACGGCAGGCAGGGGACATCTTTTAGGCCCCCTCCAGATGACGGAGGGAGGTCCTGAAGGCCATCCAGGCAGGAGAGTGCAGGCATCGATTCGTGATGCCTGCTGTGGGCAAGGCCGGTGGGACTCGAGGCCTGAATGCTACGTCTCATCCAGTTCTCTCCCAGGAGAGATTGAGGGCCCCCTGAACGTGCCCTGGGGAAGTAGGAAGGCCACAGGAGGGGGTCTCAGATGTGGGGATAACTCAGTGTGGGTGGGGATTCTCATGCTCAGCCAGCTCCCCCCTAATGGAGGTGCCCCCACGGGGCCTGCCCTGGCCGGGAAATCCTGTGAACACCCTGGCCCTTGCTGTCCAGCAACCCAACCCTGTGCAGCTCGACTCTGGCTGCAGGGGGCGGGGGAGGGGCGGCGGGAACTCCAGGGCTAGAAGGGACACTTCGGGCCAGGTCAGGCCAGGCAGGCGGCCAAGGGCCTGGAGACACAACCTGTTCCCCCAGCTGGGCCCAGGGGAGCCCGAGGGACGGGCTTGGCTGAGCTGCTCCACACAGCAGCCAGGCGACCAGAGAGGTGGTGCTGGGTGTCGAGCTCACGCGTGTGCCTAAGAGCTAAGAGCACCGAACACAGCCCAAGCCACGTGAGAAAAGCAAGGGGGAGCCTGATGCCAGGTGCATGGTCTCCTGTGGGGAGATTCCAGGAAACAGAGCCTCCGCCGTGCAAATGGGCTGAGGGCCAGGTTCAGACGCCGCTGGTGGTGGCTCACTGTCTCCCAGGACAGGGGCTGCGACTGGTCCCAGCAAGGCCTGGCTGGCTCCGTGTGGTGCCCAGCCAGCCACCCAAGTACTGACCAGCCCCGCTCAGATCTGGCACCGCGCAAAGCTGCTTGGGCTCCTGACATCACTATGCAGCTACCCGCCCTGGTACCGAGCCTGGAACACCCTTCCAGAGCCAGTCCCTGGGTCTCACACTGGCCGGGAACAGCGCTGTGGCCTCCTCCATCTGCCTTGTCTCCTTATAGCCCTTTCTCCTGAATAATGGCCAGAGACATCTTTCTAAAATATAAATCAGATTACATGCTCCCCAACACGCGCGCACACACACACACACTTCCTCTATCAAAGGCTTCTGCCACACCTGAGAGAAAAATTACCCTAGCCTGTGGCCTGTGAGGCTCTACGCAGTCTGGTCCCCCATTTCCCTCCCCAGCCATACAACCTCCCAGCAGCTCCTCAAGCACACCAAGCTTGTCCCTGCACCAGGGCCTTTGCACATGCTGTTCCCTCTGCCTGAAATGCCCTTCCCCCAGATCGTCCCACTACTGACTCCTCGCCTCTTCGCAGAGACCCCTTCCCTGAGCCCCTCATCACTCACCCCATTTTATTACTTTCACTGTGTGATTTATTCTAAAGTTATCTTGCTTCCTTACAGGAGCCGTGGCGTACTGTCCTCCTCACGCGTAAACAGGGCAGCTCCCCGGAGCAGGAACTTTATCCTGCTCACTGCTGAACCCCACTTCCCAGAGTGCTGACTGGCAATCGTAGGTGTTCGGCAATTTCCTGGCTCAGTGGTCACAAGACGGCCTGTGGGCCGGCCAGGATGCGTGCCCACCCACGTGGGTGGTGCCCGAGGCCCTGCCGCAAGCGAAGCTGCGGGGGTGGGCTGGTGAGACGACAGTGTTTGGCAGGCTCGTGTCATCTGTCGAAAGCGTGGAGCCATCCTGCCCCAGGACAGCCCCCAACATCTATGACATGCCAATAGCACCCTCTGAGTGCCAGGCCAATGTGGGAAGAGTGCCCCTTTGGGGACACAGGCTTAGAGCTTGTTGGGTCCAGTGGGGAGTGGGGCAGGGACAGAGAAAACGCCCCGCCTGTCTGCTGACCCTGAGCGTCACGTGGTGACAATAAATCATGCCCCAGTCAGCTGCTTGGGGAATCACCCCACAGCTCCCCACGGAACCCAATGACCTCGGCCGGGAATAAGGTCAGGATGAGAGCTGGACGGGACAGCGCTCCCTGCCAGGCCCGAGCTGCCAATGGCTAGGCGCCGAGCCCCGCCTGTGGTTCTAGAAGCTCATGCGAGGATCGAATCACACGGAGTCAGGCTGAGGCACAGCCATGCTTTGGGGCATGCACAGTGCTTTCAAATTTTTGAGAAGTTGCCAACGTTGAGAAACTAAGAGATTTCACATCCAAAGATGGATTTCTGGCTTCTCTCGAAGAAAAAACCCCAGGCCCACATGGCCGCACGGTTGACTCTTTGCTGAGGCCAACGTGTGCCCACTTCAGAAAGAACACGAGTTCTCCACATGTCGCTGTCCCCACTTGTCCCACGGCTCGCACCCACCTGTTTCACCATGTACTGGGCCTGCTGTGCCCCAACAGGCGAGGAGTCTGCCAAGCTGCTCTTAGCCCCCCATCGGCCCCTCACGCCTCACAGCCCCTCAGCCACCAGTGTGCTCACCCTCCTTCTCAGCAGGAGGCACAGGGCTCCTGCTTTTGCCTCGAGGACTGTTGCTGGGCTGCTGAGGGGCGTTGCTCTCTGGCTGCAGGTGCTGTGCTGGCTGTGGGGCTGAGGGCGCCGTCTTAGGGGCAGCTGTGTCCTCCCGGGGTGGCTCGTGGACTTTGGTGACCTGCTGAAGGAAGCAGAAAAAAGTGAGTGTCTTTACAGGCCGTGCACAGGCCATGGAGACCAGCTAAGGTTTTCGGGGCCCCCTGCGTCTGCCCAGCCTGGAACTGGGGCCAAGGAGAGGCAGTGCAGGTGGAGTGGCAGGACTCCAAGTCTCTGCGCAGTGTGGGCTGGGCCCACCCATCTCTGTTGCCCGTTACCCTTCCAACCCAGCCCGTACCCCAAGTCTCTCGGGGTCTCTGAGAGATCGGGACTACCCCACCTCGGGGGTGGGCAGCACCGTCGGCACGCCCTGTGCCCCTCACTCACAAAGCCCTGGTCAGCTCAGTTAGCAGGCCAGAGCCCCCACTGCGTTTGGGGAGGCCAGGCCCACCCCCGGGAGGAGCAGCTCTGGCAGAGGCTGGGCCATCACGAGGCAGAGGAACCTCCAGGGGCCTCCTCCTTGGCCTGGGGAATCTTCCAGCGGGGGCTTCCCCGAAGACCTCGTGTTTAGAATTGGTGGGGCCCCCATCCTTCTCCCCAAAGTGCTGTGACAGCCAGAGGGACTTCCTGCCTTCCCATGGCCCAGCGCCTGGCTCTGGACAGCCCTCAGCGGGTGAGGCGGAGGTGGGGGACATGGAGGGCGAGCCGAGCTGGCTCCCAGGGCCTCCAAGGGCGCTGGGCCAGGACAGAAGGGGGGAGGCCTGCAGGCCAAGCGCCCTGGTTCCTCAGAGCCCCACCCGGCACGCCTGCCAGGCCCGTAGCTGTTCCCGCCTCATCTCCATGGGGATTTCTCCAGGAAACAGAAGGCGGCTGGGAAGAGCAGGGCCGCAGGTGCTGGCCCCGCCCGCCCGGGCTGTGCAGGGCTCTGGCCTGATCTGCTGTCTCTCTCAACAGGAAGCGAAGGTCAGACAGGCCAGGGGGCTGCTGCCTTGCTCGGGGAGGGGGGGGGGAAGGCCTGGCACTCACAATGGGGGGGATGGCGGCCGCCCGCTGCTTTAGCTGCTTCAGGTCCAGCGGCTTCTGGGGTGAGGCGTTGGCCCTGGCATCACCGGCTGGGGTGAGGAGGCTGGGCCGTGGTGACAGCAGCCTGAGGGGGAGACAAGCGTCAGGCCCATGGCTCGCAGCTGGTCCCTCTTGGTTCCAGCCCTGGACCACACAGGTGGGGAGCTGAACATCCGGGGTCACCAGGCCGCCCGAGGAAACCAACTAGGTCTCTGGGAGTGGGGAGCAGGGAGGGGGCTGTTCCTTCCCTCCTCTGGTCCACGCAGGTCCCACAAGAGGCCGAGAGTCCCTCCGACCCCAGACCAAAGGCCCAGGCCGGGACCCAACACTCCCCTGAGACAGCCCAAGGCAGGGAAAGCCCCAGGGGAGCTCAGACAGCCCACACCCCACATGGTCCTTTACAAGCTGCCAGAAAGCCAAAGAATCGACTATGGTTCGGTGAACGCAGGCGATTCCGGGAGATTGTGTATCACCCAGACATGAGGCTCGGACACCAGGGTGGGGCCCTGGCGTGGAGCTGAGTGGGCCCCGCTTACTGGAAACAGGTGTCGGTGAGCCCACCTGCTTCGCTGGAATGTCCCACTAACTGGAATGTCACCCACAAACCATTTACTGAGAAGCTAAGAGCAGATGGACCGCAGGCTTTGCATGGAGTGGGGCTGGTCAGTACGTGTACTGTCCACCCGTCAGCCATGGTGCTGAGCTAGGTCTGGGGGTGCCTCGCTCCCCCCCCAGAGAGGTCACATCGTGTGCTGCTGACATTCGGAACTGGGCATTGCGTCTGCACGGGGCACACAGCACAGCCAAACTGGGTGCCAGGGGCAGGGTCGCTCCAGGGTAGGGCTGCGGTGTCTGAGGCACCTGGGCCCAGCCTGACCCAGGGGTGCTCCTGAGCTGCTCGTGGGCACTGCCTCCTTCACAAACTCGTCAGGGATTTCCAGGACATCCCAGCACTGGGCAGAGCACCCTGTCACACTCCCCGTCTGGTTTCCTCGCCTGCCCACTGGGGCTGCCTGGTTCCAGCCAGCTCTCGATTCCCTGGGAGGACCTGCGCTCACTGAGCACTCAGCAGGCCTGGCGCTGTGCTTGGGGTGCACAGAGGAGACCCAGGGTGCAGGGTATGCCTGCAGGGCGCCAGGGTCAGCTGGGTGACCAAACAGCAATGTAAGGGCATTGGCTGCAGGCTGGGATTCCGCCAGAGGGCAAAACCAAGGCCAGCTCCCCAAAGCCTGAGGGTTCTGTAGGCACCGCCCCTACTGTGCGCTGTGACCATACCAACGCCAAATGCGGCGTGGAAGCCACAGCCAAGGCCTTTGAGGTCAGACCTGGGGCAGCCAGGACGTGCTCATGCCACCCAGTGTCCAACAGCCAGTGCCCGACGCCCAAGAAGGAGAAGATGGAGGGGTGGGCTCCTTCCTACAGCCGGATGGGGGGGGCGCACACACATGACATGCAGCCTAGGTTCCCTCTGTGGTGGGTGTGACAGGCCAGTCGTGCAGGTACCAGTCTCCGCTGGCATCTGCCACACGCTTGGCTGAGTGGAGACAGACTTGGTGACGCCTGCTGGCGGTGCCCATGGCACGCAGGTGTGACCGGGCACACAGGGAGGTCACGCTGACTTCACCACGCTCAGTGGCCTCCCTGATCCTCACCTCCCTCGACCTCTCCAGGTCCCGCTTGACTCGGGGACCACCTGAGGCCTCCTGCAGCTGCTCTCTCTCCTTGCCCCCCTGGACTCAGGCCGAGGCACCCTGACCAGGTCCAGGCTCCGACGCTGTCCCCAGTCCAGGCCATCTCCACCTCGGGCACAACTGCCACCAAACCCAGCCTCCCCTCCTTTCACGTTTACTTATCACCCTCCGTGTAAAACAACTCGCGTTTGTAAACTTAAATTTAAAAACGAACACACTGCGGTCACTTTGGAAAGGAGTCTGGCGGTTCTACAAGATGCCAGTCACGGAGTCACCATCTGCCCCAGCAATGACACTGCGGGATGTGTGTGTGCCCGAGAGAGCCGAAGACACACGTCCACACAGAAACGTGTTCCCGGAAGATCACAACAGCAGCAGTGCTATCCACACCGGCCAAAAGGTGCCAACGACCCAATGTCCAAACCAGATGAATGGAGAAACTGTTGCCCAACCGCACAATGGAATGCTACTCAGCCATAAACAGGAGTGACGCACGGACACTCGCTACAACGTGGATGAGCCTTAAAACCATGATGTTGAGAGAAGCCAGATACAAAGGACACATGTTGTGTGAGTCCGTTTCTATGAAATGTCCAGAATGGGCGAATCCACAGAGACAGAAAACACACTAACAGTTTCCAGGGGCTGGGGATGGGGGGGTGAAGGGGCTGAGGAAGGACTTCTGATGGGTACAAGGTTTGCTTTTCTTTTTTGGGGAGGTGGGGGGGGGGGATAATGAAAATGTTCTGGGATTAGATTGTGGTGATGGCTGCACAAACTCTGAATATACTAAAAACCAGTGAACTGTACACTTTAATGGCTGAACTATGTGACATGTGAACTATACCCCAATAAAGCTGTTATAAACAAGAAAATGAAGATACTGGTGTATGCTAGCCATGAAATCTATGGTTTGATATATTAACTACATTGTTTCTATGAACAAAATAATGCTGTTATATTTTTATGTTTTGCAAAAATACAAAAATACTTTGAAATACAAAGTTTAAGTTAAAACATAAAACTTTTAGGGCCGGCTGAGCGGCTCAGTTGGTTAAGAGCTCGTTCAAGAGTGCGAGCTCTGAGCAACTAGCAGTTTGAGTCCCAGCCTGAGCTGAGCTGCTGCTGAGCTGCCTGCCACCGCTCCTCGTCCCAGCAACCGCGGAGGGCAGGCGCCAGGCTCTCTCCTCTTTGTTTTCTTGGAAGACAGCAGCTTTTATTTCTCTCTCTCTCTCTCTCTCTCTCAGCCCAGGGCAGGATAGGGGCGCTGGGAGCCTGGCACGGTGCACGTGACCCAGGAGGGGCAGTGCTGGCAGCATGGCTGGGAGTAGCCGCCCCCGCTCCTAGCCCACCCACCCTGTAGCTCAGGGCTCGGGCTTCTGGTTCAAATCCCGCCTTTGGCTGTGTGCTTTCATCAGCTGTGCCTCAGCTTCCTCCTCGGTCACGGGGTGTGAGACGGTCAAGGGGAGCTCTGAGCGGGCTCAGAGAACGCACATGGAACGCTAAGGATGGAGTCGGGTGCTAAACGGGTCCAGCGGTCTTGCTGCTACTGTGGTTCCTCCTCCCGCCCTCAAAAGCCAAGGCTGGGGAGGGGGCAACTGGGGGCGGGGAGCACACCGGGCCTGTGACAGTGCGTCCTCTCTCGTTAGCTCCCGCCTCAGTTTCCCCACTCACCCCGGGCTGGGATATCCCTTGCCACCACGCTGGGGCCAGGAGGGCAAGAGAAAGCTGCTCTGTGAACAGGGTCCATACAGATGGGACCGTGCTGCCTCCCTGGCCCCCAGGGCCTCGCCCGCCTGCGCCTTCCCTCCTGCCCTCTCCCCGCCGCCTCACTCTGATCCTTGCCACAGGCCTTTCTACCGTCTACTGGACACTCATGAGGCCACAGGCCCTTTGCACTGGCTGTTCCGCTGCTGGCTTTCCCTCCCTCGCCTCACACCACGGGAGCAGGCCATCCTTCAATGTCACCCCACTGGACAGGCCTCCGGACGGCACGGCCCACGACCCCAACCCTTCCACCATCCACTGAGCACGTCCGCACTCACTTTACCATGGCAACTCTCAGACTGGCGGCTCTCACTAGGATGGAAGCTCCCTGGACGCAGCACCCCTCAAGCCCAGAATGGTGCGCCTGGCACACACACTGGTGCCCAGTTCATCATTTATGGAATAAAGAAATCAAGGAGAAATCGCTGCTATAATTCTCCCGAGATTCCAAGGCTCAGTGGCAGAAGCCACACGCCGGCCCCCTCTTGGAGTGGCCTGTGCGGGTTCCTGAAGCAGTTCCAAAACGGGGCAGCACATTTTGTATTGAGCGCCCACTGTGGGCCTGGCAGGCCCGGCGGTTCACGCCTAGTGACTCCATCATCCTCACAGTGACTCGTAAGTGGGAACACCCACGCCCACCTTACAGATGAGACAGCTGAGTCCGAGGGGCAGGGGCTTCCTGAAGGCCTGACCCTGCCATAAAGTGCCCAGGCACCTTCCCAGGGAAACGGAACAGGGAGGGCCGGCAAGCGCCAAGCTTTGCAATCACAGCCACTATCTCTGGTCGTGAGCCCAGGAAAGTCCCTGGTGCGGCTGCCAGGAGAGAGTGATGGAGAATAAAGTAAAACAGCAGGATATGGTTTTCTCTCCCAAAGTCGTCCAGGCAGGGGCAGGGCCAGGACCAGATGCATCTATGTCTGTCCAGGGCACCCCGCTCACCGTGCCGGGGCTGCCTGCTGGGGAGGAGGGCGGTGGGCGTGCGGCCAGGACCAGGGGTTGTCCTGCGGGGGTGGGGGTGGGGGGGCACCCATCCCACCGGCCCTTCCGAGAGGCCCTGGCTGCCAGGGCGTGCTCTGACGTGTGTCTCCCCCTCGCCCTCCAGCGTCCGTCCGCCTGGCCCTGCACGACTGTGGCCTGCGGAGGGAGGGAGGGAAGGCGGCCAGCCAGGAAGAGGTCAGTAGGCTGGCCTGAGTCCAGCCTCACCCCGAGGGCAGGGCCTGGCCTCAGTCACACAGGGCGTGACAAACCAGGTGTCCTGACTTCCCGCCCAGGGCTCTGGTTCCCAGGGGACGGAATGCTGGACATTCGGGCAGGAAGAGTGGAAAAAAGCCAGGCCCAGCTGGGGAGGAAAGGACACGTCCCTGGGTGGAGCTGTTGGAGGAGGGGTGGAGAGGCTGAAAGGTGTCTGGCCCGAGGGGTCCCGGGGGAGGGGGGGCACTGACGGACTCAGGCCAACGCCCCCAGCTCTCCAGCCTGGGCCGGCCACGTGTACCCACACAGGCTTCCAGGAGGCTGCTTATCAGCGTGGCTGCCACATGAGCTCAGCACTCATCCGGCTAAGGGCAGAAGCGTTTTCCATGACTGTCCCTGCGGCCAGCAGCAGCGAGGGTGGGGCGCTGCCCGCCCTGACCCCGTTACCTCGGCACAAAGCGGGCGGAGCGGCCAGACCTTGGCCCAGGGCCCCCCCCACAGACTGAGCCGCGATGAGCACTGGTTTCCGAGCTGCGTCTGTTGGGCAAGCAGCTCGGGAACTCTGCGCCCTCAGGAGCCTGCTGGCCAGGCCTCTGCTTATCGAAGGGCCACCCACCAGACCATCTGTTTCTCACACAAACAGGGAGAGGTTCCTGTGGCCACCAGGGACCTCCGGACACAGGGAGCAGAGGCCAGCGTGGCTCACCTGCTTTTGTGGAACATATGGAGACCCAGAGAGCACTGGCAGAATCTGATTTTCCTATGGAATGTTCTAGAACTTGCCATTTTAACATTCCCTGAGGTGAATCATGGGGCAGAGGAAACGGCTCTGAGTGAACGCGTCGAATTTGAAAGTCAGATTTTCCTCCCTCTCGCTCTGCCCAGAACTTTTCCGAGATGTGAGGAGAGAAAGCAGACCGCACTGTTTTTAGTCAAAATAAAAACGACCCGCCTGCCTCACTAGAAAACAATTCCTCAAGACGCCCAGGGGCAAGCAGAGCGGGTCTTGAGCCACTGGCCTCGGCGTCCTGCCATCGGCCCCAACTCAAGCAGACGAGCTTCGATTCTGGTGGGGACCTCGGGGTCCTCAAGCGTCTGTGCTGAAAGTGGTTAAAATCTAGCGTACCCAGGGGCTTGGAGGGACAGGTACCCCGCGCCAGGGACAAAACAGAGGTAAGAAAGGGAGGAACATGTGCCCGAGACTCAGCTGAGCTGCCACCTCCTGGTCCCCACCGCCTCCTGTGTCTGGACGCCACTCAGTATCTGCCCCCTAACACCGCACGCGCTCCCCTGAGGGTAGCACAGAGTCTGCCTCCTGCGCTGCTGTCTTGGTATCCAGCTGGTGCTCACTAAGTGTTTGCAGAGGGAAAAGGTACAAGCCCACGCACCTGTTCTTGTCGCCTCCCTCAGGCTCGTCCACCTCGTCGGCACTGCAGGTGGCACTGGAGTCGCTGTCCTGGGGGGCACCTGAGCCCTTGGCCGAGGGGGCTTTGCCGCCAGGGCCTCCGCCCCCCTCTTTCTTCTCCACTTTGAGCGCCCCCTCGGGCGTGGGCTCGGCGCCTGCCTCCACAAGCCCCTTGGCCTTATCCGGCCCCTCCTCCGAAGCTTCCTCCTTGCACTCAGTTTTGATGGGCTCGGCGGGGGGAGCCTCCCCGGGCTCGTCCTTTGGGCCCACATCCACGGCCAGCTCTTGGGTCACGGGGGGCTTCTGCTCCTCCCCCTCCTCCACCGCCGGGGGCGCTGATGAGGCCTCTTCGTCCTTCTCCTCCTTGGGGACCACAGGAGGGGGCGGGGCAGGCGACGGGGCTGCTGGCGGGGGCGTGGGCGGGCCGGCGGCTTCGGGGGCTGGGGTGGCTCAGGGGGTGGCACGTCGGTGCCCACGGCGGGCGGGGGCTTGGGCCCATTCTGCCCCGTGTCCTTGGCGGCCTCGGTTCGAGGCGACGGGATGCTCTCGGTGTCGGAGCTGTTGTTGATGGCGGCTGCGGGGGGAGAGCAGAGAGGAACTGAGACAAGTGGGGGGCTTGGGAGTGGAGGCAGGGGCGGCCTTCCCCACGTCACCCCACTACACGTCCTGGCTCCCGGCAGGAGCTCAGGATGCAGTGGCCCCATGACCCGACACCAAACCACCCTGAGGCTCCTACGACCCCTGTGGCTATCCGTTGCTGTGTCGTCATAACACCACAATGTAAATCGGGGCCCATGAGCTAGGAGGAGCCCACACTCGACGCATTCCCCCGTCTGTTTCCCACAGGGCCTGGTATACAGCAGGTGCATAGTAAGTGATGACCAAACGATTGCATGTGTGTACAGATGAAGGGCAAGGGGACCCGGCTCTTTAGCCTTGAGAAGCCACTCCTGTCACTTCTCCAGGTCTCAATCCCCCACCCCCCTGCCCCATTTTCTATAACACGGGGACATTAAAAAAACCCTGTATTTGCTGTTGTGAAATCAAACCAGGTTAAGCGTCGTGGATGAAAACACTGGTAAAAATCAACAGAACAGCTGAGCCGAGCGTACTCATCTGCAGGGGTGAGGCAGGGAACAGCATGGGGAACAGACAACGCACGGGGAAGGGGGGACAGAGGCGGCGACAGCACAAACGGTGGTGCTCACAGGCAGAAGCATGCTCACAGAAGTGGGGCCCCTCACAGAGGACAGGTGACCTTGGGATGCCCCCCGCCCTGGCCCTACCCCCGCCCCCCCAGGCCAGACAGCCACATTCATACCTGGGCCACTGCACTCCCCTCTGGGCACCTCGTTCCCAGAGGCATGTAAGGCTGGAAGGAAGTGAGAGAAGGGTTAGAAGCCAGGTGGCGTGAGCAGAGGGGAGGGAGGGGGAGGCTGGGGTGGCTGGGGAGGCAGGGCCAGCAGAGGGGCGGAGGGCCAGCAGGCAGCGCAAGGACCCACAGTGGCGGGGCTGGCCACTCCCCTGCCCTGCCCTCACAACCCTCATCCTTTGACCGGAATCCTCTCCCTCCCGACTCTGGGCACCAGTAACCCCAGGTGACCTGCAGCGGCCCCAGCCCATGATGGGGTCCCGCAGGGTGAGAAGCGAGTCCTGCCCACTCCTGGGAATCCTTGGACAGGTCACTGGCCTTCTCTGGTTCACGGCTGCCAAGTCCTCACCCCTCAGATGCGGAGCCAGGCCAGCAGGGGCTGCTGGGACCCTGGACAAAGGCTTCCTTCAGCCTTCACTGCCCGCACTGACCCCTGCTCTCTCCTACCTCGAGCCTCCCTACGAGGCCCAGGTTAAGGGCCACACGTTCCGAAAATTATCACCTCATCCATAGCAACACCGGGCTTGCTCTGTGGGTGCTGAGCTCCGGGGGAGGCTCCCACACAAATGACTCATGTAATCCTCCATAACCTCTAAAACGGGGACAATCATCACTCCTGTTTGCAGATGAGGAAACTGAGGCCCAGAAAGGTTAAGTCACGTGCCCAAGCCACACTGCATGGGGACAGGACAGGGTTGACCCTAGCAGCCAATGCCCTTAACCACTGGCCGTCCTGCCCCTGCCTGCTGACTAGCAATGTCCTTCCCTCCCTTGCACATGGTCAGACAACAGGACAGAGGGGGCCAGCAGTGAGGTCCTGGCACAAGTGGCTTAACCCTCACAGACTCAGTGTGTTCGCCTATAGAATGGGCAGTTCACGCCTGGCTTTCTCCCCTACCAAGAAGCTTATCTGCATCAGGAGTTCTCGGGTGTGAGCACAGAGGCCTAGGGGCTCAGGCAGCTGGGCCACCCCCAAAACGGTTCTCATTCAGGTCTGGGAGTATCTACCAAGTTTGAATTCTGGTCCCCAAACCAGCCAACTATGTGACCTTGGGTAACCGCTCTGTGCCTCAGTTTCCTCATCTGTAAATGGGACGGTAACAGCACCTCCTCCATAAGGCTTTTGGGACCATTAAAAGATTAAGTCAAGGCTATTGTTCTTATTATGACCACGAGCGCTACTGGAGACAGTACTGGGCTAAACGGATTACTTCTCCCTCCCAGAGCTGCTTTATCTCCGGCCTGGATGCAATGAGGCACTGGCTACCCACCCCCTGGAGGGGCCTGCTGGGGCTGGCTGGGTATGCCAGGAGGTTCCACTGGGGCAACCTCAGGCCCTCAACCAGAACCGATCTTGCCTCCCCTGTCTTGGTCCCAGGGGACAGGGTTACCCAACAAATGCTGGCTGGCTGGCAGGCTCCAAGTCTACCAGTTACCTGACACCCTGCTGAGTGACTCGCCTCCCCCTGGGCCTGTTTCCTCATTCATAAGATGGGGATGTCACCTGTACCTTTGTGCAGGACCTTCTAAACTGCTACCCTCGATCTGCTCAGAGAAGCCTCAGCTCCAGCCAGACCATCAACACCGCCAGCAGAGAATGCCCCTCTCCCATCCCTGATGGAGTGTGTGAGCCCTCCAAGTGAGCTCACTGATGCACAATTCTTGCTGGGCAGCTCTGCTCTGGTTTTAATGCTCAGCCAAGGTCCGGTTTCCTTTCACTTTCCCAGCAAGACTTCATCCTGCCCACACCCACAGCTGGGAGGATATTTAGAGAGGGTATGGGCTTTTGCTCCCTAGGTCTTCCCTTTCCCTGACTACAGACTCAGGAGCCAACTCAAAGACCAGAGAAATGTGCAGCCTCCATCAGACATTGGCCAGGCCTCTGGCCAATGTGGGCTAGAGAGGCCCTGAGCTGGCAAGGAGGCCAGACAGACTCAGGCCCAAACCGAGACAACAATAACCAAAGGGCCTGATTCTCTATTTTCCACCAGAAAGTAGGGTTCGGGCTGCTGAATACACCTCAGGCTGGTGAAGCCTGAATTTATCTGCAGGCCTGGCTTACAGAGCCAGAGGTGACACGCACGTTCCTCCGCCACGCTGGCAGCTCGGGAGTTGAAATGCAGAGACAGGCAGACAGGAGCAAGGGTAGGAAACCCCAGGCAGGGACAGGAGGAGGGAAGATTTCATTCACCAAGAACCTGAGCGCCCAGCAGGGACAGCTCTGGGCAGGGAGAGGATGGAAGGAGAGGCAGAGTCGTTCAGCTAAGCAGGGGTTGGGGTCTCAGGGGCGCCATGCCACTGGGGGTGGGGTGGGGAGTGGGTGCAGACCTAGGGAAAAGGGAGAGGGGTGAGGGCCAAGGGCAGCCTAGTTAGTGACCAGGAGCACAGGGCCTGCGTCGGGCAGCCTGGGGTGATTCCTGAATCTACTCTTGTACACTTGTCACACAGTGGAGCCAAGTGTCACACGGAGGCCGGGCTCTCGAGTCAGGCGCCAATGAGGTGCAGTCAGAATCCTCCTCCTGAGGCGTGGGCAGCAGTGCCAGGGCAATTTAGATGACTCACTCTCACTCCCTTTGAGAAGCACTCACCTGGTGGGAGAATTCATCCACGGCAGGTGCAGCGATGCAGCTGGGGGGACCCCTGGGGTGCCGGGCCAGGACATTTAACTGCCCAACCCTTAGTTCCCCCACATAGAATATGAGGATTCGTGTGACACTTGAGAGTAAAAGGAGGCACTGTAATTATATAACTTTTGAAATATTTATCGACCAACAGATCGGTTCTACTTATATTGGTAACCTTGTAAAACAGTTCAAGTCAAAAGTCTATTTTCAAATTTTTTTTTCTTCTTCTAAAACATGACAGCAGAAGGGATGGCAAGACAACAGGTGTCACCAGGGCTGACCTGGACTGAACTCACCACAAGGGGTCAGGGGGATTAAACAGACAAGTGCCCGGCAGGCACAGAGAAACCAATTATGTTATTGTTGCCATCATCATCACCGTCACCACCGTCACCATCATGACCACCATCATCACCACCACCATCCTCACCACCACCACCACCATCACCATCACGACCACCATCACGACCATCATCACCACCATCACCACCACCACCATCACCACCATCATGACCACCATCACCACCACCATCGCCATCACGACCATCATGACCACCATCACCACCACCATCACCACCACCATCACCATCACCACCATCATCATGACCACCATCACCACCACCATCGCCATCATGACCATCACCACCACCATGACCATCATCACCGTCATCACCATCACCATCACCACCACTACTGTGCTCTCCTCTTTGGGGCAGTCCCAGCCCTTTCTCACAAGGACCCAGACGTTTCTAAGAGCAATCAGTCGCCACCATCCCACCCTCACCTTCTGCCTCCTCCGCCATCTCCTCCTCATTCCCGCTTGCGCCCGATGCTTCCATCTCCTCATCCTCCACCACAGGTGGGAAGGCGGCCTCCTCGCTGGCAGCGGCCGGGGTTTTCTTCTTCTTCCTCCGTGCGTTCCTCTCCTTTTCCTACAGCAAAGGGAGAGAAGCAGGTCAGGGCTGGGCCTGGGCTGTCAGCCTGGGGACTCCCAGTGCCCAAGGCCCCGTCACAGCTGAGGCGCAGTGATCCTAGCCACATGGCGCGAGGGCTCCTTTCATCCTCGCGCCCCACTGTGGCGGCCAAACGCGCCAGCAGTTGTTTCTACCCAGGGCTTTGTTCTTCTTCCATCATGTCCCAGATACACCTGGGGTGCAGCCTAGCCTATCTATCGGCTGCCCTGACATCCTTCCAGGACAGGTGAGGAAAGACCGCCTCTGCCTGAAGACCCCTGGTGATTACTCCATCCCTCTGACTGCCCTAGCCAGAGCAGTGACCATACCCCGGAGGGACACCCTCCTAGGCTCCAATCGGTACGTGTGGAGCAAATGAATGAATGAAGCTTTTCCTTGCCCGTCCCATCTGTCCCCCTCTGAAGCCTGGGGGACAGGCTAGCTTGGGAAGCTCATCACTTCATTCCACCAGTCTTCATAGGGCACCTACTGTATGCCAGGCACTATACCAGGGCTGAGAACACACAATGCCTGAGACAGACAAGGTTCCTAGCCCCAGTGGCCATCGAGTTAGGGAGACCAGCAAACAACACATCTCTTAAAAAGAAGGAAGGCTTAGAGGTGTGGACACAGCTGCAGAGGGGATCAGACGGGGTGGGGCGAGAGAGGGCAGGGGATACACTGGATGGATGGTCGGGACGGGCTTCTCCGAGGAGGTGCTGAGAGGGAGCTGGCTGGGCAAGGCTCTGGACGACAGTGGTCCGGGTGGAGGGAGCTGCAAGCCCAAAGACCCAGAGGCAGGCATGAGCTGGGTGTGTTCGAGGAACAGAAAGGAGGCTCTCATTGCAGAGCCTTTCACTTCCCTCCAAACCACGCCCCGGCCCCCAAAAGCCCTGCTCCTCATGCAGGGAGGCCAGGAGCCCACCCCCCAGCTAGGGTACAAACATCACTCCTTATTGATGGCTTCCATCTTTGCATGTCACTGGCCGGGCACTCTAGGGAAGCAGAAGAGACATCTTGGGCATTTCTTTACCCCACCGTGCTGAGACAGGCAGAGGCTCAGATGGTGTTTGTTGATTGACTAAGTGACCACAAATGGCAGCGTCAGGGCTTGAACCCAGAGCAGAGAGTTAGGGATGAGTGAAGGCAGTGTGCTAGGGGGTCTCGAGGTGACCATGGGGAGTGGAGTGGACCCTAAGACGGCACCCACTCCACTACAGCCGGTGTGACAAGAGGGGGTTGCAGCCTGAGCCCTTCGGGGTCTCTAAGGAAGGAAACAGAAACTGCAACACTCCTGGACGTGCCAGCAGCTCTCAGCAAAGCCCCTTCTTCTGGGTTGAAGACTGTCCCCCCAGAATTCATGTCCACTGAACCTCAGAATGTGACCTTATTTGGAAATAAGCTCTTAGCAGATGTAATTAGTTAAGATGAGGTCATACTAGATTAGGGAGGGCCCTGAATCCAATGACTGGTGTCCTTATAAGAGGGAAATTTGGACACCGAGGCACACAGGGGAGTGATGCATCTACAAGCCAAGGAAGGTCAAGGATGGCCGGCCACCACCAGAGGCTGGAGGGGGGAAGGCAGGACCCTCCCCTGGAGCCTGCAGGGGGAGCCCGGCCCTGCCGACACTGTGCTGTCAGACTTCTGGCTTCAGAGCTGTGAGAGAATGAGATTTTGTTGTTCTAAGCCATCCAGCTGGTGGTATTTTGTTGTAGGAAACAAGAAATGAACACACCGTCCCTTCCACCAACCCCCCCAGACCCCAGGAAGAAGTCCCCCCCCCCACATCACAAGGAGGAACGGCCTGCTCTGGAGGCAAACACCCCGTCACCTCCAGGGACCAGCAGGCCCTGCCCGCCCCAGCCCCGCACCATGGCCTGGCTGGGAACAGGACTCAGGGGACCCCAAAGCCCAGCCCCAGTCCGAGGGTGGGATCACTTCCTGTCCTGCCTCCTCCCAGAGCAAATGAGCGTCCTCAGGGTGCAGCCACTGGGAATGCCGGGAGGAAAAGGGAAACGTCCATTTGCCCGTTAGTCACAGTTTCCGTCACCAGCACTGGGCCAGAGGACCATAGCCCTGCCCTGCCCAACGTCCACCGGCCGTTATGGGAACGCCTAGCCCCACCGCCCGCCCACTCCCGGGGCTGCCCCAGCCCTACACCAAACCCCAAGCTTCCCCCTGCAGGCCCCCGGCTGGAGCCCACGGAGGCGCGAGAAAGTTGTGTGGTAGTGGCTTCTGTGGGCGCGGCTGAGGGTTCCCTCTTCTTCCCCAATCTATTTTTGGCAGGCAGGGACTCACTCCAGTGCCCAGGGCTGGGGAAGGCAGGCCATTGGCTGCCTGAGAGATGGGTGGGACTTGGCCAGCTCAGGGAGCAAGGACTCCTTGGGCTGGCTGGGACGCAGGGCCTCTCCAGGAGGGTCTCCCCAGGTCAAGTCAGGCCAAGCGGGGTGAGTATGATGTCAACACCTGAACCCCACTAACGGTGGCTGGGTCTGATGGGTTGGGATGTACCGAGTGTCCCAGAATTACGCCAAATCCTTCCACACGCAGCGCCGCACCCAGAATCGGGAGACACTGGATACCAGCATTAATAATTACAGCTGACATTTACGAAGCACCTACAATGCGCCAAGTGTTTTCGAGACATAATTCACTGGATCTGCAGAGCTGCTCTACAAATCAGAGTATGCTGCTCCCTGCTTCAAACCCTCCAGGGGATCCCCAAAACCCTTGAAATAAAACCCTGGGTCCTCCCCTCCATGCAGCCCTCCGTGATCTAGACGTGGAACCTCCTCGCCTCTCCAGCTTGCTCGCCCGCCCCTCACCTCCTCCCTGCCTCTCCTGCAAACGCGCGCAGCGCCCCCAGTCACAGGTCCTCTGCACTGGCTGTCCTTCCACCTGGACACCCTGCTCCCAGATGCCTGCGTGGCTCGCTGCCTCAGCTCTTCAGAGAGGTCTTCCCTGATTCCCCTGTCAAATCAGCTAATCCTTGCCACCCATCAGTCACTTACTACTACACCGCTTGTCCTATCATCTTCAGACCACCATCTGAAATGATCTCTGTGTTAATCTGTCCCTCACACTAGAACCAGCCCCTCAAGGGCATCTCCGTGTTCTCGGCTGTGCTCCCAGCACTGCTGGAACACGGCCCGGTACAGGATAGGTGCTCTGTGACGACTTTTTTAGATGCACGACTCGACACACAAAGACACTGGCTCAGAGAGGCTGAGACACTGGCCCAAGACCACACAGCATATGAGTTTGAAAGCAGGTCAGGCTCAAGCCTGTGCGGCCTCAGAGGGAAAAGAAAGATGAGGCAAGGCTGGGCCTGGGCCGAGGCGAACAGAGCTGGAGAAACGCGGAAGCTAAGCCGCGAGGCCTGGATTCACAGATGGGAGAGCAGGGTAACCTTCGGCCAGCAGGAGGGGGAGGGAACGCCTCGGAGAAGACAGGGATGCCAAATGTTACATAACTCGGGGACAGCTCCGCCTGCCCCGTCCGATCCTGCTTCCTGCTGACGTCGCCCGCAGCCACGCTTGGCGCAAGGCAGGGAGGGGGACACCCACTGAACCTCTGCTTCCCCCACTCCTTCCTGCACTGGCCAAGGGTGACATGTCTTCCTGAGCTCCAGACGGGGCCTGGCCTGGCCAGCAGCCAGAGGTGGCTGCCGCGGCTTTAGGATTCACAAGGACCCATCTTCCTCCGGGGGACTGGAGGGTGCGGGGGAGGGGCGGGAGACAGAGGTCACTGAGTTCAGCGGCATCTCAGGAGGCCCGCTTGCATGCTCCAGCTCCGGCGATAGGGAGCTCACCCCTGCCCCGGGCGTGGCCCCCGTCAGGATGGACGGACCCAGGCTGAGCCCCACTTCCTATGACGGGACCCCGCGTCTGCCTCTAGAGCCCTCAGTGGAAGTCTGGCCCTTCGAGGTCAGCGGGAATGAAAGCCAACCCCACACTCCAAATGGCCCTTTCTCATCAACAAGCCGTCAGCGCGGCTCACCCATCTGTCGGCCTCAGAACGTGACTGGCCGGCTCCCCACCGTTGGTCCGCGGCCTGTGGCCCACTACTCGCCCAGCAGGACCACCCTCTGTGCAGTTCGGTGTGAGCCCTGTCTAGTGTCAGTGAGACAGGCCCACAGGGAAGCCAGGGGCTCCTCTGTGGCCCCACCAGGCATCCACCCCCTCCTGGCCTCATCACCCTCACCTGGGGGATGGGGACAATGGAGGCGGCCTCAGGGGGCCGGGAGGGAGAGGCCCATGCTGGGCCTCTGGGTCCCCCTCCTGTTCACACCTGCTTCTCAGCTGCCAGCGATGCTGCCACCCACCGGAGCCTTCAGGGTCAGGGGCCACCTCTAGCAGCCTCAGCTATGTCTCCCTCAGCCTTAGCTGGGCTGTCCCCTGGCTCACAAACCTTCAATGGCTCCCGCTGTCACCCCCCAGTCGAGCAGGAAAACCCCACCCACATGTACACCTGCTGCTGCCTCCCTGGCATACAGAGGGTGCTCAATAAAGGATTGCTGTGCGCCCAAGGAGGACAGCGTCCAACACCAAGTGCTGTCCGAGGGCCAGGCCCTGCCCTTTAACATAGGAGCTCATCTGCTCCTTGCAACAGCCCTCAAGCAGGTCCTGTCTTACCCGTTTCAGAGAGGAAACCGAGGACAGAGCGGAGAGGCCAGGTACCCGCGGGCACCAGTCAGTGAGCAGGAGGGGACGGCCGGGGTGAACCCTCTCACCCAGAGCCCTGCCCTCCACCACTCTGCTAGGCTGCTTCTCTGAATGAGTGAATGAGTGAATGAATGAATGAACAAGCCAATCAACCAACCAACCGCTCAGCCCGTCCAGGAGCAGACATACTCCATACCTGACTGACAACCAAGGGAGACGGGACACCTCAGCCACCAGCCACCACAAGCGCACAACCGCCACCACCATTGTGGCTCTCACTCACGGAGTTCTCGCGACAGGCCAGGCCCCATTCTAAGGGCCTTACGTACATTCACTCAGACCATTCCTACCACCTGGCTGGGTGGGGTCTCTGGTCCTTCAACCCTGCTCTCAAGTTTTGGGGTCCCCAGAGGTGCCGTGGGGCCAGGCCCTGGGGAAACCTGGAAAATGAGGCCTGAGGCCAGTGCGAGGGAAGGAGACGTCTGTAACCCTACGGCCTAGGCTATGGGGGTCGTGGAGGGGTGAGGGTGGGAGAGGCAGGAAGGATGGGGGAGAGGCAGGGAGGAGGAAGAGGTCGAGGGAACAGGAAGTCATCGCACCCTCGCCCTCACTGAGGCTTCCTCCCTCCCTGCAGAAAACCAGATTCCTGGGAGATCTAGGAAAAGGCGGGGCTCCTGGTGTGCCAGGGAGCACTCCGGAGGCATGAGGAGCGTCACAGACCAATTCCAGGGGTCCCGGCAAGTGACGGAGGCACAGCCTCACCAGACGTGACAGGGGACAGGGCCGCAAGCAGGGGCCCAACTGAAGCCTGAGGGCCGGCCTCAGCCCTGGCCACAGGGGCATCAACAGTGTCCCCCTAGAACACTCAGGGGGGCTAGGAAGGGGTGCCCTTAAATTCTGCACAGTGCTCAAGGAGGGTTCAATCTGTCCTTGGCCCGCCGTGTGCTGTGCAACTTCAGCAGCCTGCTCAACCTCTCTGGACCTAAGCAGGCTGCGTGGGGAAGCAACTCAGCACAGCTTCCCAGGACAGACTGCACAAACTTTAAATCCAGCAAGAGGTGGCCAGATCCGGGGGAGCGGGGTTGGGGGGAGGGCAGCTGAGCGTCCCCGCTCCTGTACCTTTACCTCTACAAGGAAAAATGCAGCCTGCCATTAAGAGTGTGGGTCCTCGGCTCACACAGCTGTGGAGTGAAACCCAAGTCAGCTGCTTATGAGCCCGACTGAGCCTCAGTTTCCCCATATCTGAAATGGTGACAATGCCTGGCATGTCACAAGTGTGCTCAAGTTGTGGGGAGGAGCAGAGGCCAACCCCAAACGGCCCTCACTGGTAAGCAGCTGCAGAGGAAGCAGAACATCTGCATGTTCGGTGAGGCCAGTCCACTCCTTCTGTGCTCCTGGGGGAGAGGGGGCGGGTCCTCAGCCCCTTGAGCCCCTGGGAGGCCCGGGCTGGGCTGGCTGCCCCCTGACCTGTCCTTCCCTCTCCAGGGCAGTCCTAAGACTGTGAGGTCAAACGGGGTAGAGGAGACGCTCCCTTGGGGTTCCTTTGCCTCTAGGTCTTCATCCCACTGCACTGACAGCCACAAATCCCACACGAGCCAGTGTGGGACCCACCAGGCTCCTGCCTCAGGCCCCAGCCGCTCTACAGGCCCCCAGGGGTGTCTGGGACGAGGGCTGAGGGTGGAGGCCGCAGGGGGGCCTGGAACACGGCTGGCACGCCTGCCCACGCGCGTTCCCAGGAGGGATATTCATGGCACGGATCGACCTGCAGCCGTCCAGTGGGTACCACTGGGCACGCGCCGTCAGAGGCCCCCAGGTCTGGCTGGGATGCCCCTGGGGGCAGGCAGTGTGTGTGTGGGGGGGCTCACCATCTTCAGCTTGTGCTGCTGCAGAATCTCATCCAGGTTCTGCCTCTTCTTGTAGTTGAAGTAGAAGTTCTTACACTGCGACACCGTCTTGGAACCCACCATGCGGGCGATGGCCGACCAGTTGCGGCCATGTTCCAGGAGACCTGAGGGGATAGGGCGGCAGGTGAGGGGCTGTGCCCACGGCCTGGGGGACACACAAGAGTCCCGGGCAGAAAGCAGCCCCGACACCAGGCCTGAGGCTCAGTGCTCGAGTCTAAGACTCCCCGGAAGAAGTGGTGGTTGGCAGGGGGCACCACAGAGGGTGGCGCAGGGGACCTGGCCTCCCTAGGCTGCGTGGGAGACGCCTAGGCTCTGGGCGCCGGGAGGGGAGGCGGCTGCTTGCCCTGGGTGTTCCCCCACCAAGGTTGCCGTCAAGGGTTCTGGGGGCCGAGGCTCGGGGCACATCCCCGCTCAGGCCCACACTTCTCCTGCCTCCCTGCTGTCGTGACCCAGCGCTGACACACTCGCAGCTGCAGCCGAGCCTCAGGAGACGGGCTGCACCGGGCCAGGGGAAGGAAGGAATGTGTGAGCGAGGCAGGGGGGCAGTGGCGAGTCCAGGTGGGGGTGAGCTGGGGCCGGGAGCCTCCGCGCCTAGGTTAACTGGGGCACCCCAGGGCCCCAAAGGTCCCTGCGGACACCTAAAGGCCCACCCTGGATTTGGGATGGCCCGGGGGCTGAGAGTGAACCTGCCCTCAAATTGCAGCCCCCATCTCTGAGTGCTTCTTCCTCACGGCCTCACAGCCTCCTGATGTGGGGAGAAGCCCCCAGGAACTGGCAGACCCCACCCCAAACCCACCAAGGTCAGAAAAAGTCCCCTCCATCCCCACAAACTCAGGCCAGGACTGTACCCCCTACTTTTATTTTCAATGCTCTAAACACCAGGCTTAGCCGAAACACACACATCCCACCCACCGGGTCTAGAGGCAGCGCCCCCTAGAGGGAAGTCTGGCCCTGGGTCTCAGCCCACCTGCCTGCAGAGCTCGGGCACACGTGGCCCGGTGTCTCTGCATTTAGGCCTCACCTCTGGGCACCACCGTGCCTTGTGCCACGGCCAGTCTGCAGAGCAGGTATGGTCAGCCCACTTCCCACTGATGGCCAGTGCCCAGGGGAGAGGCAGGAGGCGGGTTCCAGCCCTCCAGGGGCTGGAGGCAGGATGGGCCCCCTGGAGGGTGCAGGCGTGACGCCTGAGTCACGCACGTTGCTGGGAACACAGAGGCCTCTAAGCCCCAGAGCTAGGCTTGTAACGACTAAGGAAAGATTTCCCATAACAAAGTTTGAGGTCATTTTCGTTGAATTGAATCAAGCTGCACGCAGGGAGGGCTACGACTGAGATTCTGCAGGGGTGCAGGAGCCTGAGGGGCCGGCAGTCTGCGTTGGCATTTTGTCTTTCATTCATCCATCCATCCATCATCCATCCCTCCATCCCTCCATCCCAACATGTGCTGGCGGCTTGCTGCGTACAAGGCTCTAACAAAAATAAAATAACAGCAGCAGAAACATCAACAAACCACTGTGTCGCACGGCCAAGTGACCAGAGTTCGCAAAGCCCTTCAAAGACTTGGTTCTGTCTCATCCTTGCTGCGAGGCCACGACGGGTTTCCCTTCCCCACGAAGGGGGGCACAGTCACTCACAAGCTTATGGGACAAGCCCGGGGGGTCGAGCGGGCGTGGGGACCCGGGGTTTCTGCACTCCCACCTCTGGACCCAGCGGGTGGGGGTGGGGTGGACTGACAGGCCACCTGCTCCCCTGCGGAGGCCACAGGGCCACGTGGCTCCACAACGCTTCAGGGTTCCTCAAGGACAGGGGGAGGGGAGGGGAGGGCAGGGCAGGGCGTGGGATCAAGTGCAACCAGGCCCCCTGACCTTTCCCTCCGCCTGCGCCAGCAGCAGCAGCTGCCACTTCCACAGAACCTGGCGGAGGACGATGGGGACGCGCGTTTATTTATATTTCCCCAGCCGGGGCCAAGTGAGCCCAGGCAAACACGTCGGGCCGGAACCCTGGTTGGGAGGGGGGTGGGTCTCCCATCTGGGCCTCCTGGGGCGGGGGGCAGAGAGCGCCCAGAGGGCAGCTGAACCCCGGGGAGGCTGACGTTTCTGAAGGAGGCAAACAAATAAGGAGGCGGAGGGGAGTCTGGCGAGGGGTTGGGGTCCTAATTAACTCCACTTGTGGGAGCAGCAAGAGCTGATGGCGGGGTTCACCCAGCCCTTCCCGAAAGTGAGAGGCTCGTGAAGAGCACTGGACACAGTTGTCCAGAAGCCCTGCCCCGGAACACGCTGTGTGGTCTCGGCCATCCCTCCATCCCTCTGGTCTTGGGCCTCAGTTTCCTTAACTGCTGTGTGAGGGCTGGGGCAGTGTCCCACCTCTGCCTGCCTGAGCCCCTGGGGCGGGGTGGGGTGGGGGCAGGCAGCGGGGGCTTCCTTCTGGTTCCTGTCTGGGAACCCCAGATTGGGGGTGGAAGCACTTTAGATCCCACTGTGCCTTAGAGACCACCTGACTCAGACCCAGCTGAAGGCCCCCCACCCCCACGCCAGTCCACCTGGAGCGAACGCCTCCAGCACGCTCCAACCAAGACCCCCAAGGCCTCCCCCAAGGATCCAGGTCTTACCCTCTTTCCCGAGCGCCCCAGCACAACAGCCAGAAAAGCAGGGGAGGGGATTCCAAGGAGAAGGTGGGGGTGGGAACCCAGAGACAGAGCTCCTGAGTACCCGGCCCTGGGCTGCCTGATGGCCGTGCCCCCCCACCCCCCATCCCTGTCACCATGGCCCAAAGCACCCCCCCCCGCGCCCCCCTCCCCGGGCCACTCACTCACATCCTCTCATCTGCGTCTCCCCCTCGGCCAAGTTTTCCGGAAACATACGGCTCGGAGGGTGCTCCAGGGAGCGGAGCTGGGAGCAGCGGGCTGGGAGGTGGGAGGCTGGGCGGCCGCGGTGCCGGCTCTGGCGTCTGCTGGCGGCTCAGCTCAGCCTCACATCCTTCTCCTCCAACAGCGCCAGGGAGGAGGGAGGAGGGAGGAGGGAGGAGGAGGGGAAGGGGAGGGGGAGGAGGAGGGGGAGGGGCCGCAGGCAGGCGGAGGCTGGCTCCGGAGAAGGGTGGCGGGCGGGTGGCGAGGCAGCTCCTTGCTGCCGGCCTGGCCCAGGCTCGGCACTGCCACCCCTGACACCGTCCCCACCCCGCAACCCCGCAGCTGCGGGCGAGTGAGGTGCCCTTCGCAGATGGGGGCGGGCAGTGGGAAGTTGTCGGTTGTGCCCTCGGGGGCCCGTGCCAGGCGTCACCAAGGCTCACAACTGTCTGCGGCTCCTCCAGGCACCAAGGAGCTCAGAGCGGGCACTCGGCAAGGGGCACGGGCCTGGAACCCCCGGACCCTGGCGCCCCTGCTGGACAAAGTCCGAAGACCCAAGCCCAACGGGCTGCGGCGCCCCAGTAGCCTCGCTCGATCTTCCTGCTGCCTGACCCAGCAAGACGCGTCAGGGCTGAATGTGACCTCCAGAGAAGGCTCGAGGGAGCAGGCGGGGGAGCGTGGCAGAGGCCCAGGTTCAGAAGGGGCGGGCCAACTTGGCACTGGCCTCCCCCTTCCCTCTCTCCCCGTCTGTGGCGGTGGCGGCGTCAGCAGTGGTAAGAACAGATGAGGGTTCAGAAAAACAGCTTCTCCACCCCGGCAGACGGGAGCAAACAGCTTCTTCCGCTGTCATTCCCCTGCGCCAGGTCCACCTGCGGTCTGCCCCCAGCCCAGCCCGACGCTGCTCAGACGGGCCAGGCCCTCCGTGGGGGACTCAGGGGTCGAGGGAGGGCGAGAAGGGGACCGCACACCCCTTCAGCACCTACCAGCCAGGTCAGGGTGGGCAGGGCTGGCTCAGCAATGGAGGAGGAACTATAGGTTTTGAGGAGGCTATTCAAGTGCAAAGACATCTCCAACCACGTAGGGTGGGGGAAGGCTTGGAGTCCCCAAAGGGCTCTGGGCAGCTCTGGGACCCAGCCAGCCAGTCGCCTCTCTCCTCCCTCTCTGAGACCCACCCCACACAACCAGGTCAGCCTGCTCCCCACACAAACACCTGCCATGGGTGTCCCAGCAGCTCCCGAGAGGTTGAAAGTTAACTGAGTTGAACTTTGGAGCCAGATTCAGGTCATGACCGATTTTTCCAGCTCCCGGGTCACTGACCGGCTTGTCCCTTTAGCCCTCAGCCTTTCCATCCTGCCCGTGGAAACCCAAGAACAGATCACAGGGCTCAGAAGTGCCCTGTCGCCCCAGGCCTGTGCCCCCTGCCCTCAGCCTAGGGGACCATGCCAGGGGAGGACAGCAGATTTCATCCGTTTCAGGGATCCTAGACTTTTGTTCTCTGCAGTGAGCTCCAAGCCAGCTTTTAAGGATGCCAATTCAATCCTGTCACCGCTCTGCTGCAAATCTTCCCACGAAGACCCAAAAGCTCTTGGAATAAAATCCAAAGGCTCAGTGTGGAGCCAGCCCCGCCCACCTGTGCAGCCAACTTCCTACCCCTCCCCTTGCTCGCTCACACCAGCCACTGGGCCCTTTAAGCCCAGCCCTGGAATGTGCCCCAGGACATTTGCACTGGCTGTTCCCTGGACCTGCATGGCTTTTTCACAGATCCGCCTCTGCTCTCTGTTAGCTCTGGACTTGAGTGACACGGTCCGAGCAGCCTTCCTTGACCATCCTATCCAAAGTCATCCTCCCAGTCACGCTGCCATCATAGGGTTTTGTCATCTTTGGAGCACTTATCACTCCTTAAAATTAGCTCCTTTGTTCTAGTACCCTCTGACTGCCATGTCTTCGGCAACCACAACTGCTAGGCTTGCAGGAGGTGCTGGGCAAATGAACAAAGCTCCCAGGCACTCCAAGCTTCTGGGTCTGCAGGCCTACTGGGCATGCCACAGCCATCTCTGCTACCTCTCTGGGGCTCCTGGAAAGGAGCTCCTGAGAGAGGAAGGGGCTGAGGGTTTCTTCTCACTGGGTGCCCTGGACCGTCCCCAGAAGAGGCAGGAGGGAGGGCCCACTGCTCCGCCCCAGAAGCAGGCCCAACACATGGTGCCCAGGCGGCAGATGCTGCCAACGTCCCCTGCGGTCTGGATTCTCCGACCCCACTTCTAATT